AGGGACAAAAATGTGGAGAAACATGTTTTCAAAGGGAATATCAATTTTTTGGTGTATGTATATTGACAAAGCTGGAAGATATTCCAGAATCAATTCTTAGGTATAGTACAAAAATAGTATTTTTTGTCCGTGATTTTTTTTTCAAACCTCAATAACTCAGTCAATTTATGTCACAAAGGTTAATAAACTATATATTCTTGGTGGGGAAATACAGGAGCAGGTTTGTACAGGTTTATGATGCTGTATGACATCATCTCAATTTTGGTGGTCTCCCAACCACTTCTCAACAAATTCTCAATCAATGGATGTTATCCATTTGGTATCCATTTCATAACTTTCTCATAACTTGCTCATAACTTGCTAGGGTCGGTGGGAGGCACTGGCCTGCCAGTGACTTGTGATTGGGGGCTGTGCTTATGATCATAATCACCGAAAGAGAGATTTTCCTTTGATGCAAAATTCCTACGAAGCGCTGCATCGTAATTCGCAACGCACATCCAATCCGCTTTTGTACCATCTGACATAAACCTTTCTTTGATGAACTCCGCATATTGTTTGAAATCATCGTAACAACTAGGGAACGCTTCTTGGTAGGTCCTTTGCAAAATATCAAAATAATAAAACCACTCCTGAGCGTCGAGGAGTTTCTCAGATAAGGCCTTATTCTGAAGAGAAAGATTTTTATTGCGGCCATCCACAATGAGTGGAGCCGTATAACCTTTCTGTTTAGCCAAGTATTTGCCTTTGATGCGCTGTAAATCAATGTATTTGCCCTCCAATAGATCTTTCGTAAGGGTTTTAGGGAAATCCGAAGGCCTAACACTAGCATTGAAACCTTTGACTGCCAAGGATATAATAGAAGCGTAGCCTTTCTTAGCTTTAGAGAATCTAAGCGCTCCCGGAGTATAAGAAGACTCAGAATTAGGCCCAGACTCTGCTCTCGAAGCCCAATCAAATTTCTTTGTTTTCTTAGCATTTTTGATATCATCAGAATCGTCTGAACTGTCCGAATCGATGTCCGTTCTATGACTTTTAGCATGCTTACCTCCTCTCTTCTCGATATGCGGAGGAGTAGATTTAGCACGAATAGATTTATCTTTTTCCTTTCTCTTCTGTTCCTCCAAGAGGTTCCTAGCAACTTGAGCCATGTCGATTTCTTCTTGGGTAAGGATGTGAACTTGAGGAGAACGCCGAATGCTTTCCCTATGACTACCCTCTTGACTTCTTCCTTTCTCTTTATCAATGACAATATCATCTGGGAAGGTAGGGTTGGTAGACAGATCAAACACATAAACAGGATCAACTTGAGAAGTGACCGGTCTAGTAGGCATTGGTCCTTCATTATTATGGACAGGACGACCATTGTCTTTATCAGATTTGATAAGGACAGCAGCAAACTTGGACCATTGACGGTACCAGTTTGGAGTAGAGAAAGGAACAATCTCGGAATATAATGATTGCATTTCTGCCATAGTATTGGCGTTGGAACCACCACTTGTATCATATGATTTGGTGAGGACTTCCAACTTCTCAGCCACCACTTCAGCACCTTCGTAATCAAATGAACATTATCGCTCATTAAGAGTTTTTCAACGAAAAAATAAATGGTTTTTTAGAAAGAAACGGTTTTTAATAAGTGAAATGGTTTTTAAGTTGAAACGGTTTTTAGATGAAACGGTTTTTATGAGAAAAGGGTTGACTTTTGTACCTTATTTTGTGTCAAAAAAATTTCTGAGATAATAACAAAAAGAGTTTTTAACAATCTTAATGATGAACTCCAATACGAAGACTAGAGACTTTGACAAAAGTGAATGCGATGGGGAGTTGGTAAAGAGGGTGGTGAACAGGCATGATGTCATACCTGTAGTCAAAAGATAAGATCAAGAACCCGACCCGTCAGCTTAATTAAACAACATGTAATGTAATGTTACCAACTATCCCATTCCACTAGGTTAATAACAAGTTACCAACAGCGATTCTTGCTGACCGCTTCATGATCACAGAGAATAAGATTAAGGCACCAGAGAAATGTCTCAATACTATTTTAAGTATTATTCCCAGTTTTTAAAGCGCAAAAACACAAAAATAGATCAATTACTAGCAATACTGTTGTAACTATCATTCCCAAAGAAGACTTGTAGCCTTATCACATGTAAATAAATTTTTCATTAAGTTTGAAGGGGCTGATTCAAGTGACCATAGTGCAAACATAATAATTTCATGATGATTAAAAACACTATGACAAAGGTATACAATGAGAACAAAAGGGGAACAAAGCCTGAAACACATTCACGGGTAACAGGTACAAAAATGAGTACACGGCAACAGGCCTCAGTGCTTCAAAGAGCAACTAGAATGAGAAAACTGACCTGACCAACGCACAAGTTAGTAAAAGATACAGAAAAGAAGAGAGATAAGAAATAATTAAAAGCTAAAACAAACCTGTGAGTAAAAGCAGCATATTGTAGGCAAAGGTGATTGATGAGGTTTGTAAGTAAAAGATAAAGAAAACTATTGAAAAAGAAGTTGTAGTAAAAATAGGTCTTAGGAGAATGAATAGTACACAAATTTAAAAGCAAGACACTTACAGTTTCTTTCCAATGAGGAAAGAGACTGAGTGGAACAAAAGGTAATGTATATATATCTAAACAAAATGAACAAAACAGAGAAAGAAAGAAATTCTCAGGTCACAGACAACCTATTCCCAAAGCAGACAAATGAAACACCAATAACCGCGACATTCCATCTACAACCGTACTCATAAAACCTTCATTTGTATCTCAACCAACCACACTCTTCTTTTTAATTAGACCCTTATTATCAACATATCAAATCTATAACCGGAAGTCCTTGACTAATAACCCAGACTACCAAAAACTCAAATAGATACTCCGAACAGGGTGTAAGATATCACGACAATCTTTACAAACACCCAGCAATGATAATCAAACCTCAAAAACCCTCAAAAACCCTTTCATGTGATCTTAAGTTGAAATTATGACTAATGAATGACATGATTTGAGCTGTGAAATTGATCAATTGATCTATAAATGATTCACAGATCTTCTTATGATGAATATAGGTGATTTTTTCCTAATCTTCATAGCTGAAAACCATTTTTAGAGTTTTGACTTTTTTCTAAAGTGCTCCAATTGTTGACTACTATATCTCATCTTGTAGATCTCATGATTCAGATCAATCCTTGGCATAACATTACCTACTTATGATATGTGATGACTGAGTAATTGTGTTGTAAAAATAGATAAAATAAGCTTGCTGTGTTGTAAATGCTGTTACACGTGATCTGTAAGCACAAAAGTTGTAATCCACACCAATCTCTTTGATTCCTGATAAATTTTTCACAACCCCTCTGTTGTAGAACTTATAACCCAACAAGATTTATAGAGAGTGTAAGGGGATAATCTACCAGTAAGAGACTAGTAGAAGATGTCTGAGAGCATCCACAGCAGTCCCCCAATTGTGCGGGCTCTCAATGACATGGGGGGTCACATAGCCGTAAATTGCTCCAACAGACCTTGCAAAATTGGGGTGAGACATTGAGAGTCTCCAGATTTTGAGCTGGGCCCTCCACATCTGCAAGGTCTAGGCAGGCTCTTGACATCATGTGCAACTGCTTTGACATGACCAATACAGAACACTGGTACAGCCTGTTAAGGCCCGGCTGGACTAGTCATTGGAGATGACAAGGCGCTTGGCCAAGTCTCACCTGTTTTTGGATTAGACTAGCTGGAATGTTTGGGAATTTCATTTGTAACTGGTTTCGCTTTTGTCATGTTACGTCAGACTTGTAAAACGCCTTGTGAAACATGTTTTGTATAAGATGTGTGCTCTTTCTAGATTGTGTTAGAACTTTCCTCTTGTCACATTTTCTTCTTGTTTTGGTAGACTAGTAACTAACACTAGTCATCTAGGTTAGAGCTTATTTCTCTCTTTGTCATCTTATGAAACTTGTCACATTTTCTTCTTGTTTTGGTAGACTAGTAACTAACACTAGTCATCTAGCTTTGCGTTTCATCATCTTCGTCCCAATACAGCCAACCTTTGCAAAAACAACTGTATTGCTCCTCCAATATCTTTGCTCAAGCATATTCAATATACTCAACTGGGTTTTGGCCCCAACTTTAGGTACACCACTGTGGGAAGTGCATTTTTTTTACCCCCCACATCCAAAAATCAGCATCGGGGGTCTGTTTCTGAGCTTGCACAATCAGGTGGCTGCTGTGGATGCTCTAAATACTGCCTTCCTAAAACAAGACAATCCAAAAGGGGAACTCTGTTGAATTGAGTACTGATAAGTATCAACAGAGAAAAGTATCTTCAATTGACTTTCAAAGGACCAAAAGCACAAATTTTGAATGAAACAGCACAGTTTTTAAATTGACTGTCTCTCAACACTTAAAGTGTTATTCCAATCTGATAACCAAGGGAAAAAAGTGCAATATCCTTTTGATATTATTTCCAAAGACTTTATAAGTCACAAACACTACAACACTAAAATAAATTTCTCTTCATACCTATGATAAAGGGCGTATTGAAGTGACCAGGTATGATTAAAATAAGTTTATGATGATAAACAAAATGATAAAGCTAAAAGGGGAACAAAAACACCCAGATCCTCCATTTGATAATGGATCCCACTATTTAGCGCCCTCGGATTGGTATCCGAAGCCCCCTTTCGGACCGGACACCGGGCAAATCGAAGTTTGAAGCCCCTTTTGAAAAAATCGGGCAAAGCAGGGGGCAAAAAATAGGGCAACTCTCGTATCTTTTGTAAAGATTTCTTTCGCGTCCCTGCTTCTCAATTTTGTCTTTTCTTTGTTTCTTTCTTCTTTTTTTTTCTCGCACAACACATTGAATAATTGAATAAGGTGCATAACATGTTCATATTATCATATTCATATTCATAGGCATAAATGTAAGATAAGTGGCATATGTGAGACCTTCCAAAAGAAGGAATGATACAAAGGTGGCATACATGAGATCTTCCCCAAGAAGGAATCATACAAAAGAGTGTCGCATACAAGACATACAAGAACCATCCAAAAGAAAAAAAAAACGTACAAAACCAAGCGAGACAACAATACACACCAAACAAAGAGAGAAAAAAACATCCATCCATACACTAAGTACTATGATTCTTCGCCCACCAACCCATCTGCACTTTATACTTTGTAATCCACTCAGGGATCTGGCTAGGGAAAACCGCGTCTACAATCTTTTTGTTGTATATTTCAGGAAATGGAATTAATCGGGGACCAAATCCTAAACTGACGAAATGCATTCCATCGACAAAGGCCAAGATTATGGGATCGTTGTTGTTGGGTGATGTGCGATAAGGAAAAAACGTGAAACAATTCACTTCATGAGGATCCAAACATACCACTGGGCACTTGTAAGTACTTGCGATGACATAGCCGAGGTATGGCATGCGCATCCAGAAATCCCGAGTACATACCGGTCCCTGGGGTTGCAGACGAAAAAGCAGATCATCCACGGTCTCTGCAGCAAAAGGTTTAGAATGGCGAGTGATCCTTCGTGGCCTGGTACTTTCTGGAGTTGAAAGTAGTTTTTCGTGGGCCTCCCTGTTGAAAGATAGCTCCTCGTGCAATTGATGACGAATTAAAACATAAGAGTCTGTCGTGTGAATCTTGAGGGCTTGTGCAATGGCGTAGTAGCCACAATTACCATAAGCGGGTGGATTGAATACTGAATTGATGTATGGAACAATGAATTGGGGTAATTGCTTCAAAACGAGATTGTCGGAACCAGCGTTTACAGAGGCAATGGAATGTGAACTAGACTTTGTGGCAGCTATCGAATTTGACAAGGTTGATGATTGAGAATGACCTTTCTGTGTTTGGGTTTCTTTGATGGATTGCTTATTTGGGGCACGTTGCGTATGATCTGGCATTGGAAAGACCACTGAACCATAGGCTCGACTGGCCTCGAGAGTTGCTTGTACCTCAGGATCCGTGCGATCTAATTTGAGATCTTCTGCGATTAAACATAAAGAAGTTTCTGGAATAAGGACTTGACGCAAGAAGTAGTCTGGAGTGAGAGGGGCTGATTTGTGTGAATGCAGATAATGCTCTGAAGTTTGGTCCGTCTTGAACAGTGACTCTAGCGTGTTCACAATAATTTCATATCCCTGATAGCCATAACTGACCAAGAAAAGAATAATCAGAAAGTGCGCTCAGGCCTAAAGCAGAACAGCAAGTACGTACTATCCTGGTTGCTCGACCTCAAACGTTCCTAACTGCCCAGCAGTGCTGAAAACCTGCCTACCCTTGCTTTTGCTTTTAATCTTCGCACTTTCAAAATAATTCGACTTTTTCTTTTTGTTGATTATGTCGGCCAGGAGTGTGGTATGATTTTTGATTCGACTAGGTAATCATAAGGTGTTAGTTATCAAGATGTGACTTCAGATCAAGACGTGACATAGACCAACTCTTCTAATATATCAAAATCTATTTCGGTTGGCCATCCCTTGCTGACACCAAGAGGGATAGTAACGAGTTCGGCGTTATGCAGATTACAAAATTCCGCGGTTTGGTGAAACTATCATACATAAATGTCAACGCACAAAACCGTGACAAAGAAATATTCAAATGCACTTACAGGAAGGGACTTCGCACCCGCATGTCCAATACCTGGGCGCACATTAGGCAGGGCGAGTAGTTCAGCCTTCAACTGGAGAAGCTTGTCTGAGGGAGCTTCAGGCAAGGGATCGTCACAGAAGGGACAGAGGTTGTCTTCGTTTTCAGGTTCCGATTCAGGTTCGGATTCACATAAGTCAAAAGAAACTTCAGAGAGTTGATCAAAAAAGTCGGCGTCCAATGCTGGCACGTTTGATCCGGGCATCGCGCTTGATGAGGCGACCGCTGATGATGTCGATTTCTCCAACTTTGGTTTGATGCTGGATGCTCGGGTGGGACAGGTGGTAATGTTGTGACCCGCAGTTGAGCAGAGGCTGCATTTGATAACTCGAGGACGTTTGTTGGCTTCAGCTAACTCGAACTCCGACTTCCATCGACCTTCAGGAGACACTTGACGTTTGCCGGTATTAGCGCGTGGTCGACCTCGAGTATCTAGTTTCACTTCGGCGTTCAGAATGGGAACAAGAGAGTATCGTGCGGTCTCAAGAAGGCTAATTTCCCCGTACAACTTTCAAAGTGTATGTTCAGGTAATTCAAGTAGCTGATTAAACTTAGAGCGTGCAGCACTAACAAGACCTTTGTAAGTGGTTGGTGGTACTTCGATAAGTAGTTTCCACTGGTTGTGTACAAGGTCTGGAGATAGATAGTCACAATTATCACGTGCTGTAGCAATGTCATGTGAGCATGGCAGGCCCCAAGCCCCTCTGAACGTATTAGTGCAAGGTTTTTGGAGGCTGTCGGGTAATAAATCATATTGACACTTGAGTTTCTTGAGAGCGTAATGAGACACCAGACCATTCAGTTCTTTGAAAAATCCTGGAAGGCCTTGAAGGGTCTTGGTCCTTTCAATACCAACTGAGACTAGGATTTCGCTCCTTTGATGTTCCTCGAAACGTTTGAAAGAATTGAAACACGTTAGGAAGTCGTTATTGCGCCCTTCTAAAAACCGTTTTGCTTGAAAATGAGTTCCTTCAACTCGAGAGGTGGAGGAATTTCCGAAGTGAGGTGTCTTGGATGTGAATAATGCAACAAATTTGTCGGTCCTTTTAAGCCACGTATTTTGCAGGTAATCATAAACATCATGAGCTTTGGCCACATTGGTTACAGCTTCAAGATTCGCATCGTAATCTTCCTTAGTACTTGAGGCAACAAAGATATTCCAAATTTTGATGAAATCCGTCCATTCAGCCTCAGAAAACTTGTTCTTACAATTTTTTGCTACATTAATGTTGATATGCCACACGCATAAGATGTGTACAGCATTTGGAAATACTTTGGCGATTGCATTGAATAGCGCGGGTTCTGAATCGGTGGCGAAAGTTTGTGGTAGTTGAACATTTGAGGAGTCTTCTTCGTTTTGGAATACTACATCTTTTAGCTGGTTAAGAGCCCATTCATATTGAGCGGTTACTTCACTGTTCAAGAAACACATCGCTACGGTGAAAGACCGATTAGTGTTTGTTGTTCCAACAATATGTAGTAGGGGTAAATTGAATCGGTTCGTTTTGTAGGTGCAGTCGAGGGTGAGAACCGTTGGAAATCGACGGGCTAAAGAGATGCCAGATGGGCTAGCAAAGAACAGATTGAGCAAGGTGCCATCTGACAAGGTTAAAGTCCGGTGGGCCCAATGACTAGCAGTGATCAAGTCGAACAACCCCTGGATAGGGGTTCGACCGTTGAGCCAGTTGTCACGCAGTCGAGATCGGACATTATGTATATCGCGTACCAACGGCTGAGAACCCGGTTCCACGTTGATAATGGAACGGATCTGGGCAGCGCGACATCCGATGGACAATAGAAGGTCAATTTTTTGAACCACGTGAGGCTGAAATCTTTGGTAGATGGCCATGTTGTTGGGTTTTTGAAAAGGAGGGTGGTTGTGTACCAGCTTGGAGGCTTTCTTGATGTCTTGAGTGACTACCCATCGGTCCAGACTGGATCTGTAGTTAAGGGAAACCTCAAAAGTACAACCGGTCTTCTTCGATGATGAAGACCGGATGTGAGCTACAGATGGGACCGCATGGCCGAGAGAGCATCGGAGATAAACCCTGAGGGTGTGCGAATCGTGGGTCTTATGACTCTTGATGGCAAGAGCATAACCTTGATGTCGGGCGACAGCGTTGAGATACATCAATCCATTTTCCATCTCTACGAATGCCTTCCCAGTTTTCGGTCCCATTAGCAAGCGTACGGGCACTGCCCCTAATGATTGTAAGGACAAAGATAATCAGATGACGGAATTAGCGAATGAGAAAGAAAAACTTCCAAAGAAAGATGCGACTGGAAAGACGAAAAGGTAATGTGTACATACCAATTGGAGGCCACTCGTCATCTCTTTCATCAGGAATGACGTGAGCACCTTCGTCAGTTTCTTCAATCACCGTTGCAGTTGAACTTAAATCGATTTCGGTAGCTGGGTTCAAGTCCACTGGATTTAACGTTGTGTCATCAGTGACGCGTGATGGTGCTTTGGCGAGTTCGATCAAGGCAGTGGTTGATGACAATGTGACAGGAGTTTCAGAACTAGTGTAAGTCGTATGATTGGTGTTTCCAGAAGTCGAATTCTCAACTGGTGACAAGTTCGTGTTGATGGAATAGTGATTCGGATAGGGTACAGAATGATGTTGAACTTGCGAATAAGTCTGTTGACCAGGGGAACAATTGGGTGGTCGCCAATAGCTAGATTCAAAGGAAGGTTGGTTACCCTCCATCATTCCAGCATGCAAATACATGCTGGGAGGTGGAGGAGGAGGATGGTTTGGGTGTATGTAATTAGGAATAGGATAGTGAGGTTGATTCGGTGGTTGTGGGCAATTTGGATGAGGAGGAGGGTTTGGAATAAGAAAGTTCGGATGAGGATAGTTGGGTTGATGATGATACAAAAAGTTACTGTAGTTCGGTTGAGAATAGTGGTTCGGTGGATACAAGTTTCCAGGTGGAGGATAGGAGGTTCCAGGTGGATGTTGAGTATACTGGTTATGAGCACCAGTAGGATGAGGGAAAGGCGGTTGAGTTGATATCGGTTCGGCCTTACTGGGATCTGCTTGGAGCAATTGAGTTGACAACTGTACAGGATGCTCCGTTGTCGGATGTGGGGAGCCTGCAGTTTGGTGGGACAGGACCCTGGAATGCCCCTGCCGAGGTATCTGTCGAAAACGTAGCAGAAAATCTCCGGTCTTCATTCTTTTCGGGCCGGATTGCTACGTTTTTGGTCAGATGCCTACACCGGTTTTCCATTTTTGGAGGCCAGATTGCTACGTTTCTGGTCAGATACCTTCATACAACGGGTTTCTTATAAAAAATCAACAAAAAGCGCCATTTGATCCTTTGCACAGAGCCAACAAAACAATTGAAGCTATTACAACAGGAACGAAGAGACAAAATTGAAGAAAACAATCACGGGTTATTTTTTCCTTTCCCCTTTGGCTGCCCACGAGATTTTTTATTGGATGTAAGAAGGCGAATGCGTTCTTTTTCAAATGCATTCAAATATGCAGGTATGTTTAGATTAGTAAGCATTTGACAAATCACTTTAGGTAGTGAAAAGCATCCGTCTGCAAATTCCACTATGTTGGACCCGCTTGAAGGCTTGAAAACGTAGACTACACTTGTAGCCTCAAGGTGACCAAAAGTCCATTGACTTTTTGGTGATTTTGGTGGGGCAGTGCTTGCAATTGGATAATCGGGGTTGAAATACAATATCTGAGTGGATATGTATGAAAGTCCGCTGAGAGTTGTGGCTGATTTGACCCATGCATGATTGCCAGAGCCGGACATGTGCTGATATACGGTCAGAATCTTGGCGAGGTACAGCTTCTGTGTATATCCAAATCATCCAGATGATCAGAAGTCTTGAAACAAGAATATACATATGTGCATTTCTAAACAACTCACTGCGTTATTGATCAGAAGGACAAACTTCCCATGTTCCAAAGGATTGTCTGTGCTAACTTGACCGCCACCGAGATCGATATCTGTTGGAAAGTCGTCAACAGTTGAGGTGTTACGGATGACATCAGCTAGTCGAAGCTTTGAGGTGATATTCCAGCGATGCAATCGAGTGGTTGCTGAAGAAACAGCTTCGTGGTTCTTCATCATAACTGCCACCAATTTACTACACATGCTTGGCTTCAATTGTTCTGCTTCAGAGGCCGTGAGATTGATAGCGATGTCCGAAACCGTTTGTTTAGCTCGCTCATTTCCATGGCCTTTGGAGACCTGACTATCATGGGATTCTCGGATGCGAAGCATAGCTGTGGCATTGAGTTTGCATCCACTTTCGATCCAATCAACAAGCGCTTCAGTGGACCCAGGCAATATTCAGGGCAGAAGTCCCATCTCCTGTGGCGCTGTCAAGCTATAGAAAGCTTGACAGCGCAGAATCAATATCTGTCTAGATCTGTCAAGACCAGGCCAAGAGAGGCTGGGACTAGCCGGGACTAGACTTATGAAACAGAGGAGAACAGGCTAGAATAGGCGCACTCAAGGCTTTCAAGGGGGTTACCTAAAAATGGCAATCGGCAATCAATTGCTACGTTTTAGGTGAGATACCTAAAACTCATGACCCATGATTGCTACGTTTTTGGTCAGATAGCTTGCCACTAATTTTTCCAAATTTCTACGTTTTTGACAGATACATCGCCAAAATTTTAGCCAAAATTGCTACGTTTTTCGACAGGCCCCTCGGTAGGAGCATTCCAGGGTCCTGGTGGGACATAGCGGAAGTGGTGCGAATGAATTGGAACGACTGGGAATCTAGAACTATGTATGTCCGGAACTATGTGAACTGAATACAAGAGCTGGTACAAGTACTTGGACGTGGAAATGTGTGTAAGGTTTGGTTGAGTTGAAGGAAAGAGAGTGATGTGGATGTGATTAGTGGATGTGATTAGTGGATGAAATTGAATGAAAGTAGAAGTGGAAAATAGGACAAGGGAGAAGGGGATTCCACGAACATCAGCAGACACATATACCTCACGTAGAGCTGGGTGCTATCTGGTGGCCAACATCCGAAAACACAAGGGCCGGTCCAGGCTTCAAATATCTTAGTAGCCCCTTCCAAAGTTATTTGACATGTTTATTGCCCGATTGAGGAAGGAAGGGGCTCAAAGGGAGGAAATGGGGGCTCAAGGTAAGTAGATAGGGCTCATATTGTCGGAATGAGCCTTCCCAAGAAGCCCTCGAGGTCCGTCTCTGCAAAAGTTTTGCAGGGGAATCTCGGGTTTTGTCGGGTCACACGGGTATTACCCGAAAATAAAGGGGGCTACGGATATTCTCTAGGGGGCGCTAAATAGTGGGATCCTAAATTTTTCACTAAACCTCCGTTACTATTGATTTAAGAGATTTAAATTATGAATTAAATTATGCTGTGCTGAATGAACTATGATTCATCCTGATCTGACAATTTGGCATATGTAATTTGTCAAAAACCTTCATTTGTGATGATTTTTACACCTTTCCACCTCTTATCATGGCTAATATCAATTTCTTCTTCATCATAAGATCATTGTGGATCAATCAAGTCATAAGAATAACTTTAAAAATCATTATAAAACTCTTGGCAACCAATAAATCCCTCAATGACATCATTACACACAAATAAATCCTGTAGTACCCTTGCTTACCATCCTTGTTTTTCCCTCTTTCTTGATCAACTTCACTCCTCCCTTATCAATACTCATGATCAAGGTTTTTGCTGAATAATATAATCCTTCTATTGCATATTACAGCCTTCTTGAACCCTCAAACTAAATATTAATACCCTAAACATCATTTACCAACACAATATACCTATATTTTGAATAATTTTATATATTAATTTATTTTTCTTCTTCCTGATTATGATCTTATGAATGAAATTGAATAAACTTGACTTAAATAGATTGCAATTCTGAAAGAATCATAATGAAACTAAAATAATATCACAAAAAGATGAAAAAAAACACAACTTTTGCACTAAAAACCCCAAATTGACTATTGATGTGATTCTTGATTACTCCTACAAATTGATCATCACAACACAATGTCAAATTTACACAAGGGGTAGATTCAGAGATAGTGGAGGTTTGATGTGCATATGGCAAGTCTTTGGGAGGGGTTGGCTTAGAGAATTGTGGCATAATGCAAACAAGTTAATTGTCAGGTCTGAAGCAGGAAAATAGTAAATAAGAGGATTATATTGAGAGTCAGAACAAGTGGAATAAAGAAACAAGGAAATACTCAAGGTACATAAAAGAGGAAACTCACCGCTTGCTGTAAAACAAATCCTGAACTCTGATATTCTTCATCATATTGGAGTTCACAAACTCAAGAGCTGGTAGAAAGCTCTTGATGTGAAGATCCATTGACTGAGCCATGGATCTCTTGAGAGATCAAATATTTGCTTTGAAGGTATAAAAGTGAAGCCACACCGTCTGAAGTCAGGTGTTGTCCACCAAATTAGATCAGTGAGCCAATTTGGAGATCAAAGGAATATGATGTTGAGAAGATTGAGGTTGGAGGAAATGTGGATAACATGCTCAAGTAGTATATTGTCACTTAGGATATCATAATATGGTATGATATCCTAGTCCACCTTGTTTGGGTGAGATACTCATGCAAACAAGGTGTGTGCTTGATTGGGGATACATATCATGAGTACTGGGGCGCAGCGGAGGGGGCACCCATGAGTGTGTGATACTCAAGTGTACTGATATGTGGGTACATAATACAGCTGACCTGTACAACTCTGTCCTTGACTCACAGAATTTGGATACTCAGCCATGTGGTCCAAAACCATTGAAAGTGGGTATGAGCTCAGGCTGGGGGTGTGTCCTTTTCTCAAAAGGTGGGCTGGCTCAACAACTGCGCCTAGGCACCACTGGGCCTGTTAGGTGTGCCTTTGTGGTCAAGACCAACTTTTTCTGACAAGGATGGGGGGATTTTGGGGATTACATTAAGGTGTAATTCATCAAATAACTTCTTGATTCCACTCCTCCCGGCTTTTAACTGAGTTGAATGCTGATTTTATCATTTCCAACCAAACAATGGCACAATTTTAGTTAGACTCAATGTAACCAAGCAATTCCCCTGACCAGGGAACAGTCCACCCCAGCATAGTACTTTTGGGTGTGCCTGCCTACTTTCTGAGTTTTCTGGGCGCAATGTGCCCCCAGCCTGATTATGAGCTGGGTACACTCATACCCACACCTGCATCCCTGGGTTCAACTCTGTTCAACTATAGATTTCACAAATACAGCATAGGAGCCGGGTTTTTAGCTAGTGGCACTTTTGCTTTCAAAGAACTGCCAACATTGCTCATATGGCAGCAGAGCCATATGTCTGGCGCCTGTATAGTGTACTACAACAGTAAAGGCAGTGCACATGGATGATAGCTGGCAAGATAAAAATATCCAGATGAAATCCTTGTGAAGAAATGACAAGGCTATTTTAAACATTGATCTGGAGTGACCAGAAATACTATATACTATGTATATAAAGCACTCAAAGTGTAATAGACATTGTTCAACTCCCCTTTCTTTGCACAGATCAAATTATCAGCCGGTATTATCTTTCCAGATGAAGATTCACAGTATGAACATGAAGTATCTCATACTTGAAAAAGGGCTCCCAGCAAAGATTGTATTATGATCAAATGTGAATGATTTGTCTGTTCTATTGTAAGATTCTACTTCAGTCCCAGTCAAATTTGTAATGCAAGTCAGGAAAATTACCTTTACTTCCATCAAAACACATTTCCAAAGTGCAGGGTCAAGGATCCGGTTTAAGTCTTGCAGAACAAATCTCACATCAAATGAGCATAGGCCTCTATTCGTTTTGGGCTTCGGTAATAGCATGCTACAACAAAGCTTCATTCTTCACAGGAGCTATACAACAATGCTGTATTGTACATGGAAAATTATTAAGCAACGAGGAAGATACTTTTAAAATCAGCTGGCAGTTTCAGTGCTCTAGAATCTTCACCGGTCCTGAAGAGACATCTATTCATCAAACCAAGTCAAAGGGTCTTCTTGACGCATGATTGCTCGATAATCAACTATTGATCCGTTCTCTTTCACCTCCTCTGTCAATATAGCGTGTAAAATCACGTCTGACATCTCATTGCCAGGTGGATCGTGCAACCTACAAGGTGATCCGATGTAGTTAGCAATGAGAAACATCGATCAAATGTGGGCACAGATAACGATTTTTTGCTGACCTAACATGAATGAATCCAAACCCATCTTCATCCTTCACAGCTGGGATTCTGATCTTCCCAAACACCACGGTTCCATAGCTAGTCTGCCCCGATCTAATTGAGGTCAAATCGTGCTTGATGCTAAAATCCGTCAAGTCATGATCCGAGATTCCTTGAGACCTAGCGAACATTCGAGGCTAAGAATGAGAGCTAGGAACGTTATTGATTTAAACTTGGTAAAACGGAAGTCAAGAGATACAATGGGTCTGGAATGAAGTCGACATAAGGAACCTAAGGCTACCTCGTGGTTATCCCAATGACGCCGTAGCCTGATCAATTCGCGTTTGATTTTTGAAGAAACGTGCTCAAAGATTCGGAGACCTCGTTCCTGAACAACAAATTATACCAAGCAAATATGGATTAGCGTTCGGATCATTTTGATTCCTCAGATAGTCATGGAGAGGCGAGTCTTTAGAACCGAATTGAATCCCTGTAGGAATTAATCACTCCAGACGACACTCTCAACCTCGAAGAGAATGACCCAAATGGGCTTACATCTGGACTATGAGTTTCATTCAGAGGTTTGGTCAAAGTATCCTCAGTTGTCATGTTGGTGTGTGATCATGGGGGCGTAATGTGAAGTTGCATTCAGGTCCCAGGATTTCCGATTTGATCGATGGAGAGCTTCATCGGGTCGGGTGCACAGCTCGGCCGGAAGTCCGAGTCGGTCCATGTACTTACATGTGGTATTTGGTCAATTGACTGTATGTCTAAAAATAAATTTATCCGAACAAGAAGTTCAAATCTTCAAAATTTGGTTTCAGCCTTATCAGTCAGTGCCTATTTCATCCAACTTTTTCTAGTTAGCTTATCAAATTTTGGCTACTTCCCTCATCATATCATCATGTTCACCTTCGCAATTCGACCAGCTCTTCGTACTCTTTTACCGGCCAAACAAGCATTGAAGTTTCCTTGCCCTCGATCGATCTCAATCACTGCAACTCGGTTCGCAATTAGTGGGCATACATCCTGATTTTTTTCGCCGTAGGGCGAACCTTCCGCACGGCCAAAGAGCCTTTGTAATCTATTTTGAAAGCGCACATTCGAAATTGATTATATCGGTCTCCATTGCTTGCTTACAATCAATTACAGCAAAGGGATATACGAAGGAGCACGAATGGGTATCTTTCGATGACAGTACTCAAGTTGCTACTATCGGTATTACAGATTACGCACAGAAAAGTCTCGGGGATGTGGTTTTCGTAGAGACTCCCGAGTTAGAAATTCAAGTGGCACAAGGAGGTATGGTTTGAGCTCTTGATAAATATGTGGAATTTCGTTCTGATTTGTTTTCTTTGATCCGTGATAAATCAACAGACCAAATGGGCGCGGTGGAAAGTGTCAAGGCTGCATCTGATATCTATGCACCAGTATCCGGTGTTGTTACGGAGGTTAACACCAAGCTGCTTGATCAAGCTAGCTTGATTAACACAAGCCCAGAGGCAGAAGGTTTGCTATTTTTGTTTCCATTCCAACAACTGAATAATCAAGAATCTCATCTCACTGAAACACTTGGTTGACTAGGTTGGATTGCCAAGATTCATTTAATTTCTCCTCAAGAAGTTGATGGCTTACTCTCCGAAAAAGCATACGAGGCCCATTGCGAAGGATCAGACCACTAAGATCTCAATAGCTTTTTGCGCATCAATTTACTCATATGACCTTAACAAGACTTCAACGTCTTTCACCAACCGCATTATGCAAATTGTACATAGCAAATTAAACCTATTGGCTCCGCACAGTCCACTTAGCCAGAACGACCAATATGATGAATATGGATAGCTAGGTTTACGATAGACAACATCATTATAGAGACATACCTTTAACAGTTTCAAGATCTTCCTGCTGCCTTGTCTCAAGGTCGAGTAATAATCAGCTCCCTTGGGATATTACGTACAGTGAGCTAAATATGCGACTCGCCTGGACCAAATATCTGAAGGCTGTTCATACACATCTATGGAACTTGAAGTGCTGATGCCTTCGCAGCCTGATATTTACTCTGCCATAAGTGGAAGCAAGAGCATCATCGATGAGGCTAGGGTCATAATTTAGAAACAAGCTGGCAAGGTTGCCCCAAGCAAATTCCAAAGGCAAATCTGTTACTTCGTATGCTGAAAGCCCACATGACCATTTGTCAAATAACCGCAAGATTATGACAACGCTTGGATATCAAATTTTGACTCTGGAAAACATCTGGTCACATACTTGTATTGATCGGATCTGTGGAGCCCTACAGGAGCCTACAGCACCTGTACTTGTGGCCTGTTGATAAATGTACTGTCATTCCTGCGCCATAAAAATTGATAGGACCACATCTGTTGAAAATACCTCAAAATGGTACATAGTTAACTACCACATGATTAGGCTAAGTTTTGGGAGCATGGAATATGATTTACCCAACAACACAGCCCAACAACACAGCGAACTATTACATACCAGTCATGAGAAGCTTGGTTGCAGGGGAAGAGGAACCAAGAGCAAGTGACGCATTTTCTTACGGTCATTTCTAAAAGAGAACTGAGTGAAGTGCATTCAATCTGTTGATAAATGGATCATGGAAATGAGACTTGTGTCAAGATCGCCAGGAAAGTATATTTCCAAAGATATAGGCGGTTTGCGCGAGATTTTCTATCACTATGAGGTCAAGTGGTTTCTATTTCCTGCAGCGATATACTTCGTCATTCAGCTTAACACTTCGTCTTTATATGTCAGGCTGCTGAAAGAAAATGTCCAGGCAATGCTCCTTATTCCGCTTCTATTATCAGCGGCCATTTAGTATGAGGGGTCGACTTACCTTTTTGTAAGTAGACTTACAGCTAATCTAGAAACGCTGGACCAATTTCTCCTACACAACTGGAAAGCGTTTCTGAGTTGGCTGTAGAATCCGATGGTAAGCTTCACAAACTTGCAAGCTTTGAGTGGGTACGTAAATCAATTCGTCTGCTCAGCTCTGTTTTAGTAATCGCAGCGAAAACTACATCAACGACATTCATATTGCCGAGTCTTTAGTGACTTTCACGCCTCTCGAGTCTCTCAACTCTCCTATCTCTAGATATGTGACTCTGGCGAACAGAATGTACCTTCCTGCGCTGTGACAAATATTCTCGCAGCCGATCTGAAAATTATGTGTGTATACAAGCTGCAAGCCAGATATGAATTTTGAGTGATCTCATCTTCTTGACCCTCATCTCTAGTTGGGAATCGGGTCCCGGGATGACTGTCACAAGTCACCAGCATTGGGGACAAAAGCCTCCTGAGCAGAACCCACGGCAGCTTAATTTACCATGCAGGGCTATGATGGGCTTTTCATTTGTAAATCACAACGCCAGATGTTCAAATTAATGAGCCAGCCTTACCTCACAAAACGTCAATACATACTACTGTGATTGGAGCTGATTCGAGTAAATGTAATATACAACAAGGTATCCACACGACTTGATGAGCTCCGAGAGCTGTGAAGGCATGTCATAGGGTGGCAAGGGAGTCCACTGGTACACATGAAAGAATTTTCGATCACTGGTGAGCTTCTGACCGCATTTTCATCACAATCCACACAGACCTGGTTTCTGCTCGGCGCGGGCCTGCCACGAATGTTAAGTTTACACGAATCTGTGAACTCATCCGAGCATGTCAATTTTCAAATACGTAGGCTTTCAAGTGTATGTCGCGCACGAACGGATGCAACAAAGCTGTATTCGCGATTAGAATCGACAATTGATTCACGCGTCGTATTTTCAACGTTGAGCTCAACAAGGTCAAGCTCCTCGTGAACCTTCACTAGACCCCCTGTTCTATCTCTCAAGGATGAAGGACAATTCGAGTTGGCCTATAAATTCTCTAGACTTCTTGGCTACATTTGGCAGCGGGAACAGTTGTCCAGTGTTTCGCAACCAGGAACCTCTCCTTGTGGTTTATTCCATCAGCTCTCCCTTGATCTTGTCATCGCTTGTCATCCCCTTCTTAAGTTATCCAGATCCCTTTGGCAATACCTCATCTTGCACCAGAGCATCTCTCACCCTACACACTACAGTTGCGCAATTTGATCGGCGCTCAGTTCCAGTTCAGAGATCAATTCATTTAGGCAACCTGTTTCGGCATCTTTTTAACTTGTGCTGCGCTGTTTTCTATCTAATAGCGTCATAAATATTTACTGGTTTCACCATTTTTACAACAAGTAGCACCGATTCTTTATAAGGTGTCTTTCATTGCCACTCTTTTATCATGTTCCAACTCCTCCCATTACTCGCCTTGGCGGCTTCGGCTGCAGTGCAAACTGTCTTGTCAGCCGACACAACCCGCGGACCACCTCTACCGAACGCGCACCTTGACTTATCGGATCTAAAGTGGACACTCTCTAATGCCAACAAATCGATCTCTGTTCCTACCTCCTTCGTCAACCAAGCTCATCTGGCTCTTATCGACGCGGGAATCATTGATGATCCGAACATCGGGCTCAACGAAGGAACCACTCGATGGGTTGGTGAGGAAAAAGCCTGGCTTTGGCAAACGAATGTCGACTTGAGTGAAATCTTCAAATGGGAGCAGGTGGACCAGGTAAACAAACCAAGCCAATCATTCGCGTCCCCGTTTGCAAGTACTGAAACTTGGACTTAATTCCATTGATATTCTGTAGTACTTCTTCGCCTTTCAAGGTCTTGATACCTTTTGTGAGATCAAACTCGGTCCACATCTCATCGGCACCACGGACAATGCATTCCGGAGCTGGGTTTTCAATGGTGAGTGATAATCTCCGTCGTCACGAGTTCTTGGATCACACTTCCACAAATATTGACGGCTGTCTCTGTATGTAGCTACTGATGCCATCCACAAGCTCGGCCCTAGTACACATAGTACCACTTTGTCTCTTCGCTTCGATTCCCCTTGGGGAGTTGCCACCCGTTTAGCCCACGAGCCGGGCAATCTTTGGTATCCACAAGCCGGTCTCGGAAATCCAAACGTTGCCGACACACTGGTTATATATGAATACGACGCGCGTAATTGGGCTCGCAAGCAGCAATCTGACTTTGGCTGGGATTGGGGTAGGTACTCATAATGCATCTTCATACAATGGTTGGCTTAATCGTATCCTCTTTACCTTTTTAGGTCCAGCATACCTCCCTAGTGGCCCGTAAGTGATCATTTGGCTCATTGACCATAAGATGATATCTTACAATTGGCTGACAAAATCCATCGATGATAGGCTTAAACCGGGTTACTTGATCGGCCTCGCACGTACTGCCACCACAGAAACTCGTCCCGCCGCACCCCGAGATCCAGCTCATGGGGATTCCCAAACCGTTGTCACGATAAAGCCACCTACGACTGGCCAGAAGGATGAATCTGATTTTGAACCTTACTGGATCCATAAAACGGTGATTGATATTTACCGGCAAGGTGCAGCACTTCTGCCAGAATTTAACAACTTGTGCAGGCTGAGTTTGATGTTTTTGTAATTGAATCTTATAGGGCAACGCAATAATCTCCCACCCGATCAAAATGCACCATGGGTGATCAATATAACCCTTCCACTGGTCACACCTCATCCGCCTTCTCGATTTGCCTCCGCAAGCCTATCAGGCACTTTGCGCGGGACAAACATCAAATTTGCACCTGTCCGGCTTCGCGCACTACCTTTACCAGCTTATTCCACCGACGGCCCACAAGTATATCTGACCGCAAGCTTCAGTGTCGCTCCCAACGCGGTTGAGAAGTGGTATCCTGCAACCTTGGGAAACCCAAAACTTTATGAACTTGGCCTTTCATTTGACTCGGGCTTTTCTCCTCAAACACAATGGGACGAACGTGTAGGATTTCGAACAATTATTGTGGATCAATCTCAATATACTGAACAAGAAGTTGCTCGTGGGGTCACGCCTGGATCGAAGTTTAACCTTCAAATCAATGGAAAACCTTTTTTTGTCCAAGGGTCTAGGTGAGTATTTGCATTCTCTTCTCAAATAAGTCGCAACGCTGATAATGATAATGACGCCCGATATGATAGTATCATACCTATTGACAACTTCGCAGCTCGAGCTAACTCAAGTACAATCACTTGGTTATTAAAATCAGCTGTCTTAGCCCACCAGAACGTAATTCGAATCTGGGGTGGTGGCGCTTACGAAACCGACGAATTTTATGACGTGAGTCATATTGCTCAAACTGTTACCAAACGCTTAGAAGCAATGTAGTGATGTGTATCCCAAAGTTATGTGATGAGATCGGTGTGCTGGCTTGGTCCGAGAGTGTGTTTGCTTGCGGTGCTTATCCGATTGAACCCAAGCATATCCTCGATAATGTGTTGGCTGAAACAGCGGAAAACGTCCAGCGTCTAGGCCGACACCCTAGTGTTGCTTTATGGGCAGGGAATAATGAGGTTCGTTGGTAACTCGAGATTCAGGTGTTAACTAGCCCCGGATCACGTTTGCTGATCCTAAACATCTTATTCAAAAGGGCGAAGGATATATCGAGTGGATCAATGGGACCTGGAACAACGGATCTGTCTATTTTAAGCAATATGATTATCTCTACAATCGTTGAGTCTGATCAAGCGCCCCTATACTTGAGGGAATCAAAGCCCCCTGACCTTGGTTTCTTCCGTCTCCAGACGCGATTCGAGATGTCTTGATGGATAACACCCGTTCAATTTCCTATATGCCATCATCAACTACTGATGGGTACGTTTGTCATTGTCTGCCCAGATTCCATGGCAGGATACGGTAGAGCTGACTGTCACCTTACAGGTATTTGACACTCGATCCTTACGTCTCTCGTTACGGTAAACATGTGCCAGGTGAAATTGATGGTGACAAAGAACTCTACAACTACAACACTGCCATTAGCTTCGATACAAAGAATTATCCGGTCGCCCGTTTTGTAAATGAGGTCAGTTCCCCTTATTTGTAACCCAAGCTCCATTCCATCGTTCAGGGGGAAAATCCATCTCTCACCAACCCAGGGTAATCCAACATCTAAAAAATTTTCGCTCCTTGTAAACAGTTCGGTTTCCACTCCATGCCTTCGATATATACGTGGGACAGAATCTTAACGAACATTGAAGCTTACTCGTTCAATTCCAGTGAAATTCGAGTTCACACCAAAGTGAGTATCCTTTTCATGTGCCTCTCAAACGTTTCCACCGCCACACCTCAGCAAGACGACATCTCTCTGACGTCCCCTTTCGATACAGCATCCGCCTGCAAAGTCTTTGACTTATCCATTTGCGGCAGACGACGGGCAAAAAGAGATGACTACTGGGGTAACTGACTGGTACCCTACGCCCAATATCACTGGGGACCCTCGTGAATTACTCGCTCAATGGGCTTACTCAACTCAAGGTAGATCATCAACTCATTAAGACACAACTTCCCAAACGGAGATCACCTGCTGAAAGACTTTCTCCGCAGTTTTCCAAGCGGCCTTCATGGCCTCAGAAATTACGTACTACCGTCTTGGGGCTAGTCGCGGTGAAAACAATATGGGTCAGTTTCTTATGAATCCTCTGACCTGATCATCTCAAAGGCATCATGTTCCGATTCTGGTCCTGATTCTTTGATTGTTCGAACTTGTAGGAGCTCTTTATTGGCAACGTAATTCATATCTACTTAATCTTAATGTTTTAAACAAAGAACTGAGTTTTGTCATCAAACTTTTTAGTGAATGATGTCTGGGAAGGTGTTAGCTGGTCTTCGATTGAATATACTGGAAGATGGAAAATCTTCCATTATGTGGCTGAACGTGTTCAAGATCATGTTATCATCTCTCCGATGTTCAATCGTACAAATCAAACCCTTGACGTATATGCCACTTCGGATCTATGGTAAGTCACTTATCAGACTATATCGCAATGTGACATTCTTTGAGTCTGAACTAATCTTCACCCATCATAGGTATCCCGTTACAGGAAACGCGAAATGGACCTGTAAGTCTATTTTATACTTGATGAATGACCTACCGATTAGTGATGTGTTATCTCGTCTTTAGGGTATGACTTCGCTGGAAAACAGCTTGCGTCGGCTAACCAGACTTTCAGCATTGGTCCGATCAACTCTACCCATCTCTTCCGCGCTGTTGGACTCGAAGACATGGTCCCTGGATCAACTCCATCAAATGATGCATGGCTTCACCTTCAGCTTACTGCTTCTAGTCAAACGAGTGGTCAATCTTTTTATAATGAACAATTCTTCCATCCTGTTCCTCTCAAGGATGCCGCTCTTCGAGCTTCGCATGTAACGGTAACAGTAACAGGGAAAAATCGGTTTAATATCATTGGTCACGGTGCTGTGGCCGCATGGGTTAATGGTATGTGATTTGAATTTTCTTCGAGCTAATGAAAGTTGAATTTCTGACTTGAATTTCTTTCTACCTAATAGTCGAGCCACCACCAGGTATGAGACTCTTCCGCTATTTTACCTCTCATGGATCCCATATACTGATACAGCTATTTTACGTGACGTGTTTCAATTAGGAGTCACCGGTTATTTCATGGATAGCAGAACGAAGAAACCATCAAATTGCTTCTTTCTTCGTCCTGATGAGGTTAGAGTATTAGATTTTGTGGTTTATGAGGATAACACCAATGGAGAATTTTCGTCAAAGATCCATGTTCGAACTCTTTGGGATAACTATCATAAGTCTAATACCCCGACTACAACATAACCCCAGTATCCCGAAAGATCGAGATTTTTTTACATTCTGGCCTGTGAAATTTTTGAAGATGAAAAGTTAAGGTTAAGTATGACTGATATTAGTAAGAAAGATGATGGATTTCACGAACAAATTTTATTACTTGTTAAATTTTCTTGAAGATCATAATGAATGTAGGGTGATAGGCTAGAATATATTCAAGGGGATGTCTTTAATAATTTTTTGATATACTTGAACCAATAATGAGATTTGAATGTATGTATGTATATATGTAGAGGCATGAAATGATGCAAAATTTAGAGATTTTGAAAATATGACAATCAAAGAAAACTAGCTGATAATTGTTTGAAATCCTAGTCCTGTGTTTCTTGACTCATCTCTTGGTCTTATTTCAGAGTTATTATACTTTTCAAAAACTGAGCTTGGCATACATTAAAAAACTCAACTTCAGACCCTTTATAATTAGGCTCCAATGATATAAAATGAGGAATAATTGATGCTTACGCCAATCAAATCTCGTTGAGCTTTCAGATTGATATGTCACCATAGTCTTGCTATTCTTATATGTCTATGGAATGCCCTATCTTGATCTACCCGTGAACCAACTTTACTCTAAATATTCACATTGATGTATTTTCCAAGGTATGTCTAAGCAAAGTATGTTTTTTATAACCTTGTATCAGGAATAATGTGCCTGGTTGCACTATACACCAGAAGAGAAAACATCTCTTTGAGTTTGTTTTTGCCTTTCCCTTAGGAAAGCAAGAGCTTGGTACTGCTTGTGTAGGTATCATCATCTGGCCTGAGGCTGAATCCTTTGACTTTCACGTACAAAAATCAGGTAGAGTCTGTTGTGCACTTGCACCCTTGAACTTCAAACAATACCTTCAAGTCTTGTTCACATCCATAACATATCAGTAAATCAGACTCTGATCTCGGGAATAAGTCTTTATTTCCAATGATACTCTGATTTAAATCATACAATAGTAACAATTACAAAAAAACGGAGAGAATGATTTGACCCTGTTCTTACAATACATGATATTACACGAAACCCCATTCTCTTAAAACTCATCAGGTGTGAAAAAGGAATAGGATATATGCAGATCTATGATATAAGAGTAAATTGGACAACTATCCTTGATACTTCCTGAAGGTGATCAAACAAACATTACTCAATCATTCTTTTTTGACATCTCCTCAACCGGTCTTCCACCCCAGCCAAACCACCAACCCGGTCCAGGTGGATTTGCAACGGCTGAAGAAGAAGAAGGTGGGGGTGGCGGCGTTGATCTTTCAACGAGAGGTCGTGTTTCATCTTCCATTTGTCCGGTACTAGCCCTTGGTGCGTTCCAACGTTTTGATCGATTAGATGCCATCCATTCTGTCTCACTACCCGAAGCTTCATCTTGTAAAATCTCATCATATGCGCTCAATCCGCTTCCACTGTTGCTATGGTGCATACGTGAGCTAGCTTGAATGACACGGCCAGGTGCAGGTAATGGAGAAGAAACTCTTCGGTTTCCTGACCCTCCATTCTTCATCATCCCTGGAACACCTAGATTCGAGGAAGATGAATCGTATTCTGGAATTTGATAACCTGATAAAGCTTGAGGTTGGACCGAAGGAGGTCGAAAAAATAATTGATTATAGACTGCACCTGGTGGATGCTCGAAATCGTGTTGAGATTGATGATGGGTACGAGTTTGCATAGGTTGAAAGACTGCTGCAGCTGCTGGACCGAACTGTCGTAAGAAGTTCATCGCATAGATAGAAGCTGGATGATGATCCATTGGCATATTATTGTTCATCACTTGAGATTGATTTGTTTGAGACTGATTTATAGATTGCTGTGACTAATGTAGAAATGATAAAGAGAGGATCAAATGATAGATTAGGTAGATTCTGATCGAAATCAAATACAGAAGAACAGGGAAACAGCTTACTGCTACAAGTCCCATCACAAGTTCTTTCATCTTTTCGACCAATCTACGTAAATAATCTGCACCTGCTCTTTTGGCTTTTTCTTTAGCTTCTACCATGATTGCGTCGATATCGGATTCATGTTCGAGAAGGAAAGGATGTAAGTAAGTGACATAGACAAAAGTAGAGCCTTGGATTTGAGGCAGGGTGAGCCAGAGCATTAGGATAGTTTTAGCTTCGTAATAGAATGGTAACCTGATGATTCATAATAGGAGGGCTAGGATGTAAGTAAAAGCATAGATAAAGAGAACCTGAATGAAGAAAGCTCACCAATTGATGAGCCATCCAAAGGTGTTTTCGAGTGCAGTGACCGATCCCATGACGATCCAATACATGAGTAGGACTTCGAGTGATTGAAGGTCATTGGCTTTGATCGCTTTGTAAGACAGATAGATAGGATAGAGTGTGCCTAATGAGGTACTTGATATTGAATCGATATGCAAAAGATAAAGAAATTAGAATGAGTTAACATTTAGTTAAAAAGATAAAGAAGTTTATAGCTTACACGATCAAGAATGAGATAAAGGAGAATAAGCCCATCCTTTATCTGATGATGTTTGTGTCTTGGTTATAGTCTTGGTTATTGTCTTGGTTATAGTCTTGAAGTAGTCTTGAAGTAGTCTTGCTGAGCTGATAATCTTGAAGTGAGTCAATGGTTTGTATGGTAAACAGGGAAACAAGTATCAAGCATTGATCATCATGAAATATCAAGTCTTGGATACTTAAGGAGCTGACCTTAACTCCTAAGTCAACCTTAACTTTGGTGACTGTGGTGTGACATCGATCTCCATCAGACTCATTTCAAACAATATCACAAGTTTCATCATGTGACATCATCATGATCCATGACATCATGACCTTGTAGGGAAACCCTCCTGGTAGTTATGTATGTCCAGTCAGATGATGCCAAATGAGCAAATGTTCCTCAATGCTCATCTCTCCTTGTATAAAAATTGACTTCAATCATGAAAGGATGTACCTTCATATTTGGATTGAAATTGAATTTATAGCACTTTTTGATTTGTAACAAAAATGAAAGGGGGTTTTTACCACCACTGCATAGTATATCAAAAGAACATTCACATAATTGTTTCTGGTTCCAAATTTATTGTTTCTAGGTGAAGATTAAGACAATGTGTGCATAACAATAACATTCACCCCCCAGACAATGACAATCTTAATGCTAACTGTTGACTGTGAAGCCAATCCCACGTCCTTTCACTCTACATGTATGTACACTTGCTTAGTCAAGTTTTAATCACACAGGATTGGCAAGATTGATTTCCTAACCCTCAGAGTGATCAATTATAACAATACTTACAAGAATTGACAATCAATCACTCAGAAATCTACTTCCAAGGTTGTATACTTCCTTACTCAGAGTGTCTTAGATTCTACCTTTCAGTTTCCAAAGTGATCATGTTTTGTCCAAGAGTACACTGCTAAGATGTGATTGACTTGGAGACTAGGATAGTGTTCTGGATATCAACAATTATTTTTTGGAGAACCTCAGGAAGTAGTTGTTTAATGTAAGTCAGTGTATACAATTTGTTGAAAGGTTTATTGATAACAGAGAGCTCTATAATTTGAATTCAAGGTTGAAGTATTTAGAGCATCCACTATCGTTACAGTAAAATTTCAGTAAATTTTACAGTACAGATTTCACAGTACAGTAAATTTAGGTACAGAAAGGTGGAAATCCACTATCGTTTCAGTAATATCGTTCTGTACGGTACGTACCGTACAGAAATGACCCTGCCCCACAATCATAGAGAATTGTACATTCAGTAAATAATCTGCAAGCTATTGACCTTGGCTCAGAAACATGGATAGTCTCAAAGTATCTAGATTTACGAGATGCTGAGATCCATCATGGTCTGATGAATGACCTCAAGGATCCATCATTGTCTGATGGACGATTGTACAACAACAAGGACAATCAAAAAAAGCAAAAAAATAGCACAAGATGTTCATTTGATGAAGTCACTTTGATTTGATCAAGTCGATTATTGAGAAGATTGGTTGAAATGGTTGATTGACAAGAAGGCAAGAAATTTGATCGATGAGAAGATGAAAAATTTGATCGATGAGAAGATGAAAGAGTTGATCGATGAGAGGGTGATAGAGATTGAAGGATAGTAGAGGGTGATTTTGGGAAGGTGGTGATGAATCCCTATGTAGAATCGGTAGATTTGGTGGATACCGATTCGGTACAGATTCTGTAGAGGTGCAGTAGATTTACTGGACCTCTACAGATTTTTGACCGAATCTGTAGCTACCGATCTGTACTTTGTACACGATTGGGGATTTTTGGCCTCGGTACGGTAAATTTCAGTCAAATTTACAGTACCGAGGCTGTTTACAGCAACGATAGTGGATGCTCTTAAAGCTTGACGAAAGACATCAGGAAACCATAGAATTGATATTGATTTCGAGGTTCAAAAAGTGAAAAACATGCATTATCTTCAAGTGATGAACCAGTTTGATTTTTATATACAAGTTTCACAAGTCAACATTACCAGTATGTCATGAAACTTGATATTGTGGCCGTGAAAGATGCTTAGAAAAGAGGTTTCGCTTTTCGAACATACCTGGCTTCATCTTCCAACATTTAATTTCAGTTGGTTTTCTTACGAGTTCGATTAGCTCAATGTCAATGACCTTATGATCTCACCTGACTGATTTTGTGGAATAAACGACCTCGTCGAAGTTGTCGTCGAGAGCTTAACTTAACATGACCGATATGTCGAAAGTTGACTGGTTCAGTCAACCAAGATATCCAGCCGCGATGGGTAGTTCGAGAGCTGATTGAAGTCAACAAATTGTTCCCAATCACGCTACCTCGCAACGATAGCCATTATATGTTCGACTAACAAACTCGTCATCGTCATTTCTGGTGCAAATTCCAAACTGGGTTGACAGATCACTAGCAACAAGTGAATAGCATGGTCGCATATTTCCGGTCTTATTTGGAGCTTAGCATCAACGATTGAATTCTTCCGAATACGAGCGTCGGGGACGAGCGTCCGGTCTGTCGGTTCCGATCGTCGCTCGGCATGGTAGGCCAGTCCAATCAAGACAATCGTCCAGTCAAGAGGATATTTGATACCCCGCCGAACAATGGGAATCGTGTGCAACCCTTCACAAGGCAGCCCCATCCACCAACACCAAACTTCTAGCCTTGTGAGTTTCACAGCAAGGAGAACTATCATATAAATAGGGCTATCCTATCGCTCCTTCTTGGGCTTGCAGTAAACCACTCAAACACACACCTAATTCCTATTTAATCAGTTCAGTTCAAGCACCGGTTGCTGCTATCTGTTTCTTCATACAAGCTAGCCTTGTTTCTTGTTCTCTATCTTGACTAATTTTTCGAGTTCCATATCTTAAACCTTCTTTTTATTATTATTCACCAAAATCTAAATACGCTAGTCAATATGCAGTTCACGTCCGTCACCATTATTGCATTCAATGCCTTCCTCGCGTCGCATGTCACTGCATTGCCCACAAGGTTAGTTTTTGTTTCTCTTTTTTCATCCTGCTCACAGCACCCCATATCCTAACATATTTTTTGACCTTGTAAGCCCTAGTCTTGATCAGAGATTGACAGTGCAAACCCGAGACATTCATGCGCCTATCAGGAATACTCGACGATCTCTAGTGAAGCAGCGTGATATCCCTGCTCCTGTCCTTGCCGCTCTCGGGATTCAAGCCGCACAACCCGCTCAGACCACAGTCAAGGCTGTTAACCAGACCCAAAACACCAGACGATCTATTCACGAACAGCGCGACATTCCTGCGCCAGTTCTCGCTGCTCTCGGTATCCAGGCTGCTCCACCCGCACAGACAGCAAACACAGCAGTCAACCAGACGAAGAACACCAGACGAGATATTCCTGCCCCAGTTCTCGCTGCCCTCGGTATCCAGGCTGCTCAACCCGCACAGGCAGCAACAGCAGTCAACCAGACGAAGAACACTCGCCGATCTTTCCTGCCCCAGTTCTCGCTGCCCTCGGTATCCAGGCTGCTCAACCCGCACAGACAGCAAACACCGCAGTCAACCAGACGAGTCAACCAAGCTAACAATACTCGTCGATCCGATATCAGCCAGCGCGACATTCCTGCCCCTGTCTTAGCTGCCCTTGGTGTCCAAGCAGCCAAGCCCACCAACAATGGAACGTCCACAGCTAACTAAATAGGTATGCGTAATCATATTTGAGCCACACAGTCGTTTTCATGTTACTGATCGTCATTGAAACCCTCTCCTCTGCTCCACATTCACAATCACAGACCCATGTATGACACAACCGAGAAGCGCTTCCTTGTGAACCATAGAGTAGTCCATACGCTGGTACTTTATCAAAGCAATTGCTCCCTTGTAACTTTCATATTCATTATACCCATTGCAATCCTAGCTGTTTGCATATTTCGCGTCATGGATCTGATATTCATCATCGCGCTCTTCGTTTCATTTTGAGTCAAACTGTGCACAATTTCCTCGTGACTGAGAGCCATTGAGACAAGGATTACTTCATACAAAAGTTCACTTTTCTCATTCTTTTTATCCAACTTCACTGTACTTTCACCTCTACTGGTCTGCTTCAATTACCTTTCACCCAGCCCATAGCCACATTAGAACTTTCCATTTCATTCCCCGCAAAGTATCCAATGAAATATTTGTTTACAAATGCTTACCAGATTTTTCTCCGTCGAGATGTCATCCATATCACATCTAACTCAACATACTGACTCTTCGTTGGGTCCAATTGTAAAAGGCATGACTTGAACATCTTTATGATCGAAATTGGCCCCGTGTCTTTTCCCCATTCGAGGGATCTCTCGCCTTCCTCCTCTAGGCCTAGTATGTCGAGGCTCATATCCTTGTGGGTCAAATGTGCGACCTCGCATGCTAAAAACAGTAAGTCGCCCTCCCAGCATTTTTTTCGAATTGCAAAGCCCGAGTCTCCACCAGAGATCAACATTCCAAACTCGAGACATTCCTGCGCCTGCCTTCGGCGCCCTTGTATCCAGCCCGCCAAGCAGACCAACAACGCCAAGCGTGACATCCCCGCTCATGTTCTCGCTGCTCTCGGCATTCAGCCTTTTACAACCAAACAAAGAACACTCGGAAATGCATTCCTGCTGTTTTTCTAGCCCCCCTTGCTATCCAGCCTGCCAATCAGATGAAGAACATCAACTGAGATATTTTAGCAGTCACATCCTCCCAATTCTTGCAACTTGGGTACTCAATATCTAAAAACCGCTTTATTATCTGAAGGAAATTATAGAAAGAACGTAAACCAAACTTGTTGAGAGCTATCCTTGTAAACCACAGCGTGTTCGAAATGAGCTTTTAACTCATTAATCACAAATTGTTTTGTTGTCTAATCCCCTCGCGAACAATTTTTACATACCCATTACAATTTCAATTGAAATAAGGGCAACTGGACAAAATTGCCAACTAGAAAAACTTCACCTACAAAACTCTTCTTCGACATAAGATCAAAAAGTACGCAGGTATACATGATCAATTTCTGCATTGTTTTGTTGCTTTTAATCGCATACTTACTTTGCTACACTAAAGAAGTCAACGTTGATAGCATGTACAGTCACTTTCAAAGATCACATTCAACGACCACAAAGGTAACAACACAACAACAACGATAAATTTTGTTTTACGTCAACCGGGCAAAGAAAATAATGACAATAAAGAAGTTCAGTCTCTTGGGGTAACAAACTCATGACATCATCTTCAAAGTACATTCTTATTTTTGAGATCCTCGCATGCTTCCATCACTCGTTTGACCATGGTCTTCTCACCTTCACGTACCCAAACTCGAGGGTCTGGTTAAAACGCATCAAATCATTGCCAGTCAATCACAACTTCTGCTCTCAAGCACAAAAGGAGAATATATCAATAGCGTACCGTAGTATTTCTTGTTAGGCTTGTCAGCGCCTTCAGGGTTCCCGACCTGGGTCTTGAGGTATTCCTTCTTATCGTTGTAGTAGTTCTATTCATGGTGAATAATAAGTCAACATTGACCTCTGACAAAATAAATGCAAAGAACACTAACCCTGAATCCTTCCATGTATGCCCATTGCGTGTCTGTAATTGAATCATAACCAATCAATCTCAAATTAGAAGCTCTTCGGAAACAATAAAGGGAAATTACAAACCCGTGTCGACATTCATCTGAAAACGAAGCATATTTTGTTGTTAGTGAGCCGGTATCAGTGAAGGTTGGACCGAAGCAGAACACGGACCTTGACAACTCCGTATTTCAATGCCAATGCGATCTCCTCTTTGGTGGATCCTGAGCCACCGTGAAAGACGAGGTAAAGAGGACGATCGTCGTCGGTCTGAAGTTGCTTCTTACAGTATGCTTGGTGCTTGCCCAAGAGTTCTGGTTGAAGGCAAACGTTTCCGGGCTTGTAGACACCATGTACATTTCCCTAGTATGTCATCACAATGATTAGTGGTGTGAAATCAACAGCAGGGTTACAATCAAGCTTACAAACGCAGCCGCAATTGAGAACATGGGGCTGATTTTGCTGAACGCCTGCTGGATGTCCCACTGTTATGTTAGAATAGATAAGAAACATGTCAGATCAAGTTACTTTGCGAAGCGGAACAAAACATAGCAAAGATCCAACGGACGATATCCTCAGGCTGAGTGTAGAGAGCAGCGTTATCAACGTTCTCATTGTTTACACCGTCCTCTTCACCACCGGTGATACCGATCTCCATTTCGAGCCATAGATCGATCTTGGCCATCCTGGCGAAATACTTGCAACATATCTCAATGTTTTCCTCCTTGGATTCCTCCGAAAGGTCAAGCATGTGAGATGAGAAGAGTGGTTCTTTGTGTTCTTTGTAGTAAGCTTCATCAGCCTCTAACATTCCGTCGAACCAAGGTAAGAGTTTCTTGGCGCAATGATCGGAGTGCATAATGACAGGAATACCGTAAGTAGGTGCGATCGATCTACGAAAGAGGTCAAGAGAATTATCATTACAATTTTACACAACGCTTGGTTTTGAACAGGAGAATATTCTTACCGAACAAACATGGCAGCTGCCGTAGCACCTGCAATCGAAGCCTGTTGGACATCGTTCTTGACTCCCTTGCCTGCAAAGAAAGCCGCTCCACCTTGGGAGACTTGAATGATCACTGGAGCCTTGGAGTCACGAGCACCTTCCAAAGCAGCGATGACAGTAGAAGAAGAGGTACACTAGAAGTAAAATTAGTCGGTTTCAGTGATTGGCGAAGTGTTTTTCAGGAGAACAATGGAACACCCACGTTGAAAGCTGGGATAGCAAACCCGTGTTTCTTAGCATACTCGAGAACGGTGACAAGGTTCTTGCCAGTAACAACTCCGCTACATGAGAATCAATGGAAGGAAAAGAGGCTTAGCCTTGAATGCAATCTAGAGTAATGCTGACAAACTCACGCCTGTAAATGAGTAAGGAGATGGTCAGTCAACAACAATGAAGGTAAATAAGTGTTCAAAGGAACTGACAGGTACGAGGTCTGATAGTCCACCCATGTTGATAAAAGTTTGAGAATTGATGAGTATTTTGTGGTTGAGAGAGGTTTTGGTTAAATGGTCAAGAAGGCTATAAGTGATTGTTGGTTGGTGGTGAGCTGGGTACTGTGATCGAGTGAGCCCTTTTATGAATTTTGGTTGGGGAACGGGCCGGGATCGGTGTCCCGGTGAACTCCGCTCAAGGGGTTCACTAGTAATTACAGTTTCATCGATAACGTTTGAATGTCGCTCCTGTTTCCCATGGTCCGCAAATATGCGTGTCAAGTCTTGGCTGCTTGGCATTATCTCTTGAGTATGGATGTCAAGGGACGACTATCGAGAAGGGCCCAGTAGCCAGCTCTTACAAGTTGTGGTCAAGTCTTGGCTTCCTATCAACATGTATTTTTGGACATGGATCTCAAGGTGAAGCACATCAATCAGGATGTAAGTATCATTTGTACTTTTGATGATTACGTATTGAAGTAGTAACCAGAAAGATGTGAAAAAGGTAGTAAAGAGGGCCATTTTACTTTCAATCCATTCAGTTGGATCTGACAACCTTGACCATGTTTAAAGATACTACTCTTGGCTGAAAAAAGAGTAGAATTATATATGAAGCAGATTGTAATACAGTATGTATGTTGTTCTAGTGAAAGAAGCAACAATCACTTGATGATGATAATTGATGAATGCAAACATGTGAACAAAGGGACATCCACCAAGCTCAAAGAAATTGAGGTTTAACTTTCAGGGATGTTGCTTCTTTCAAGGCGCATTTGCATACATATAGTCCTTGAGCTTTGGTGCTCATATTTCCGAGTCTCTGTCATGAGGTGCAGAAGAAAAATGAACAGGCTATCTAAGGGGGATGAATGGCTGTAGCTCACCAGCCAAAGATAAAAAGAAAACAACTGGTGTTCCCCAAAATTTTAAGTCGTGCAACAACTGGCACGGCAAGCACTCCCAGCCTGAAAGTTGTAATAAATCAGGACCTACAGTCAGTGCCTGTACCCCACACACCCAGCTTGTTGATGGTGTATGGGGCTATTGATCTAGTTTTACCATTACCTTGACACCAGCAACCATACACAATGCAATGGGGGTCCACCCTTACTGGAAACAAGCACATCCATGTGATCTTGTTGAAAATTATTGTGCCTAGCCTGGCCTAAGGCTCACAGGGTGAAAACCAGAAAAAAGAGTGATTTGCTGCATCATATGTATGCAGAACCAAAAGAAACAATAAAACAAAGCAGTCATGTGAGTCCCTTGGGGCTCCAAGCTCCAGGTATACCATCAAAATGGGATCAAAACAAGAAAACATTGGTATATATGATACATCTTTTTTCTCTTTGCAAATACAAAAGGTGTTTTTAGTGAACAAGCGGATTAAGTTTTCCTAAACACAATGAGGATGCAATTGGTAATCAAGCCACATTGCCATAGCTAAAGTATCATGGTCTTCACCAGCATTAGCCCTCTCTGCAGCTGTTGGTGCGTGGTAAGCCACCACTTGAGCCTTGTCCCTGGTAAGTTGTTGTTCTCTGTCTTGTTGATCAAATTCTTCAAAAAAAAAAGTCCTTGCTGCTTTGGGGCATGATGTTGTGAAGGACCGCTAGAGCAACAACAAGTGCCCCTTGTTTTGAGACAGGAAACCTTTGCATTTGTACCAGGATAGTGAATCAAATTTTCAAAACTCCTAAAACATGTTCAATCAAGTTACGCATAGCCAAGTGTTGTAAGTTAGATAATTATTTGTAGTTTCAAGGGCGCTGTCCACCTAAGCTCCACTGCTTGAGGTGGTAGCAGACACCTTGGTCAGGAGCCAAGAAGCCTTCTTGGTTGGCAAATCCGGCATTGGCAAGGTAGTATCTACCTACAACATATGTAAATGTTTGTTATGATTTAAAACTTTCTGACAGGTCTTGAAGAAACTTGATGTACCTGGTGGAACTAGGAAGTGTCCGTCTTGGTGTGCTACCTGAAGAACACAGCAGTTGTATGCTCTGCCTTCAAATCCTGCAAGGATGAAGGTAAATCTGCCATCAAATTTGCAAGCAGCAAGTACATTTTGGCTGAATGGGCTTTTGTGATTACAATATGGAGCCTGGTTGGCATTGGGAACAATTTCTTGAATATGAGTTCTGTCTATAGCTCCAACACATCCTTGAAACCAGTGATAAAGTAGTGGAGTACTGCTGATAGACTGTGGGAATGAAACTCCTGGACTGGGCTGGATGATCAATTGAAACTCTAAATTCTCAAGAGCCAAGAGGACCTTGTTGCAATATTATGAGATTGTTTCTCCAGAATGTTGAAACCTCTCTGAGGCAAGCTCATTTGAGCCAGTGTTTCCAACAACAAAAAGAAAGATCATCACTTGTCCCATGACGTGATATATTTTGTATTGTTCAGTTCTCCTTCAAGATATCTCACAAGGCCATTGAAAGCCACTTTATTCATTCTACATAATTCTTGCAAGTGTACTGGGCTTCCTTCATAGAGCCCCCATGCATACATAGCACCTGTAACACTGTGTACCATTCCCGGGAGCACGTTGATGTGCACACACAAAGAGATTTGAAAAAACAAACAAAGAAAGGTTTCTGTAGTTTTGTTGAATTTCAGTGACAATCTCAGCACCCCTTTGTTGACCTTGCTTTATGATCACCTAGACAATGGGGATGGGTCTTTGGATGCAAAGACCTCTTCAAATCATGGGTGGGAGCGGGGTTTGAATTTAGGGCGCGCTTGGCGCACCTGTTGTGGGGGCGCCAAGGCACGCCTTTTGAGTATGCAAAATAAAATAAAAATGATAAAACAACCTCAAAAAATGTGGAAAGGGTGAATCAATGATCATTTCTTTCAAATGGATGTACATTACTTCAATAAACAGCCGTGAGAAGTATAAAATCAAATAAAGAGATCATTTTCATCACATGAGATTCATAATCCACCACCATCACATCTGTAAAGGCTTCATTAGAATTGGAAATATTGAACAAATTGATGTTACATAATGATTCTATGTAACTGTATTCCTGATTGGGGAGTTCTGCTGAATCACTGTAATGAACTCCATCTTCAAATTCTTGGAGATGGTTGAGGTCTTCAAATTGTACATGTTTTTTGATATCATCTTTACCTTTTAGACTTTCAACTGTAGATAGAGGGCTTTCAATTGTTTCCCAAATCTTGAAGTTGGTGGAATTCACTTGGATGATGTCTTGGTTATGTCCTGTGGCATGATAGGAGGTGATGGGTGTGTAAAAAAGGTTGAAAAAGTCCAAGAACCAATGAAAAGCTCAAAGCTGGTTGTGGGGCGCGCCCACCTCATATTTTGACTTTTCAGGCGCGCCCTTGCGCGCCCAAAAGGCGTGCTTTTTGTGCCACACCCACCACGTGATCTTCAAAGCATCTATCATCCCTCTATGAATTGTTTTTGGTGTATGCACATTGACATGCTACCAGAAAACTTACACAGTGTAAGTGCCAACATTCAACACAGAAATTTTGGGTGATTTGCCAGTTTGATACAATCCTGAGCAGCACCAATGAGGATCTCCATGAGTTCTTCATTGCTGGCTGATGAAGCTGATGATGACAAGGACAATCAGGTCTATTGATCTTTGTCAGATGAAAAATCGGAGTCTGACATGGTTTTGGGATGAAGGAGTTAAGTTTGAAATGGCGGTCAACAGAGGTTATGATGATTAAAGTTGATCAAATCTGATCAACTTTTGCCAAAAGTGAATTGCATTATAAGGTAAATTATTGACAAGAACAAAAAAGGAGAAAAATCAAAACAACACATTTTGTGGCAACAAAATGCACTCAACTTTCAGGTAAATTATGAGGTTTCAAGTTGAATGTTTTTACATATTTTTATGCTACAACAACTTGCCTGTTGTTGTAAATTGTGTAATGTTTTTAAAGCGGGACACCTTTTTAGGTGTCCCGGATTGAAAATATGTCCGTTTTACAAAAAATATTTTTATGAACAACTTGTCCAAATTTTTAATGAATATGCAAAACAAATCCAAACTTGAAACCCCCTATTAAACAAATCAAGCCCAGCCAAACAATATAGCCAAAGTTGACAATCTCCCTGTTCTTACAGGCTACCTTTTAGATAAACACATCTACAAGGTCCAGAACCGGTTTAGGACTGACCCCAAATTGTCCGTAAACTTAGGTTAAGCTGCCGTCATTAACCAAGATCATGCTGAAGGATTAAGATATTAAGTTACTTTTTCACTTGTCAACATATTACCTTACTATGTAGCTACAGTACCATCAACTTGCTTATTTTTCACAGTTTGCTCCTTGTAACAAATTTAAACTTGAAAGATATACATAAATCAATGATTAAAAGAATCAAAGAATAAGAGGATGAGATCAGAGAAAAGTCTTTTTTGTGAACAACAAGTTCCAATCTACTCTTTCCCCAGAAGCATCTCCTACTTATTTGTGATCAAATTATATGCATGAATTGACTTCGTAGGTGGATTATTCTGCTTTGACCTTTTTTGAGTCCATTGGTATTACTAGCAACAACCAGCCTGATATATTTCCCTAGAAGAAATTGAAGTAATGACTATTTGGGGTTATCTCATCTTATATTTAATCCTTCTCTTATTCATTTCTCATTTGATATCTATCACATCATCATCTTACTAATCCTATGATATCATTGCTGTGTGTTTAAGATATGATGTAATGCTTGTTGACCGTTTCTTTGGTATAAATTGGTGCTGTTGTCTACACTTTGTCTTTCTCTCTTCACCGATTTTTACCTTCAATTTGAGCAGGTAACTACTGCTCTCATTGGTCATAAGAGATAGTAATCTCTTCTTAGCTGATATCAGCATTCTCTCAGCTTTTCAGCCAACTTGCAATTGGTTATGAGCCCAGTGCGACACGATTTTTAAAACTCAAATTTTCGAAATCATTCTATTGACCGATACAACATGTCTTCTGCCAATTCCGGTACAAAGCATTCAACTATTGAGCAGTTAAACGAGAACAATTTTTTGCAATGGCGTCTTAATATGTATGGATGGATGTTAGAACATGATCTGGTTTCCTTCATTTCTAC